GAATAATTACTTGGTGGAAAATAGGCCATCATCGGTTCCATTTGAAATCTGTAACACCTAAACATTTGCTGATTGGTCTGAGACGTGTCCTCCCCTTCACAATAGTGAGTCCACTGAACTCATCTACAGCTGGTTGATATTCTTAACAAGTCATTTACTGGCTTTATTTCCACTTTTGGCTGATAGTAGTGCTTTTTGACTTTGAAGTAGGTGCACGCTGTTTGTTGTAACTGAAACGAGGCCCACAACATTCACTCACAATTTATCCCTTCCTATATCAAACTGTTTGCTCGTCATTTGGCCGTAAAACACAGCAATGATCAGGAGCTGTGCCTGTGTACTGTAGACCCAGAATCACGTTGAGTTACCTTACAGCAATCAGAATTTCTAAGGTTCTGCAATCTAATACTAAACTGAATGACTTTGATATTGACTTTCTCCTAAATTTCTTTGCCTGGGGATCAATAGAGTGTTATCTTTCCTTCTCTGTGTATATGGCAATGCTTTTATCCTCAGTGATTCATACAAGCTAATATATTTCTCCTCCAAACAAGGTGAGGGTGAAAGATAAATAAAGGACAGAGCAATACGAGGTAATAGCCCCTGGAGAGTCCGACCTCTCCCTGTGGTGAATTGTAGTGTGTGTACATCTCTGTGACCCTGTGCCCCGGCCGTAATCCCTCACCATGGGGGCTGGATTAGGGCCTCGTCTTATTAGCCACCACCCTCCCACCACCACCTCCAGTGGTCTCGCTCCCTCTTCAGCCTGGATCGATGGCTGGCTCGGTCTGAAGTGGCGGCTCTGGTTATTAAACGTGGGACCGACCAAACCCTTCGGACTGCCGGGATAATCCCATCACAAATTAAGCAGAGGAAAATTGGTCAGGGAGAATGGGGAGGGGAGCGAATCTTCATATTGTGACCTTCTAAACAGTGAATGCACAAACAAGCACACACTTTTAAAAACTCTCTTATTTATCATACTTGTTTATCTGTGAGGATTTGAACCCGTGATGGATCAGCATTTTATTAAAGAGCGGACCTTTTCTGGGAGTTTTTTTCAATGTCTAGGAGCCAGTGGCGTCGTAAAACAGCCAGACATTATTAGTTGATGTGTAAGCATAGATCAGAGGTGTAAACAGGGTCAGAAGATGCTGTTTTCTCCCTCAAACAAAGCAAATCCTTTATAAATCTCACTCACGCGTATCCAAATCTGTGAGGTTTTATAATCTTGAAGGGAACGCATGAGATTATCTGATGAAATTGGAATTGCCCAATCTAGCAATTTATAAATTCAACATTAAATGATATCTTCTAGATTGTATCATACAGTGTGCAACACTTAATGAAATTCTGCATCTCACATAGGTTGTCCCAACTTTTCTTATCTACAGCATTTTAATTTAATTTTTTTTAGTTATTTTGTGTGAGTTTTGGGTGAGCATGGTTTTTCAACTGATTCAAATCAATGATAAGTCCACAACAATGGACATCTTATGCTGTTACATGTGGAAACAATCACGCTGCATAAAGCAAGATCGATGTTGTCATGGTTTCCAAAGACCCAGATAAATGTCCAGTAAGAGCCCAGCCTTGAGGTATTCTGGGAAACACACCAAGGCTTTTAATCCACGTTAAGTGTCTTCTCAAACTCCCTATCCACACACACAGAGATACAACAAAAACAAGACTGTATTAAGCCTTAATATGGTATAATAGAATATAAAAGTCCTTAATAATAAAAAGGATCACTTTATTGGAAAAATACAGAGAAATGGAGATTTGATGTCGTGATGTTTTTTTTTTCTCCAGTTTTCTTTTTTTGCCTCTCAAATCTTCCCATCACTCACTCCCTGTCTTCCTGTGTTTGTGTGTGTGTGTCATCTCTAAGCCTGTCATGTAGGATAATACCGGACATTAATTACCCCCGCTGTCTGAGGTGAACGTGATTACAGCCCTGAACTGGTCGTGAACCAGCCGTCACCGAGAGGGGGCAAAGTCTATTAAACGCCATTATTGAATCTTCAACCTAATTTAAGAGTAAACGCACAGCGACTGGCCGTCTGGCTGCTAGCTGCGGTTTCTTTACTCGATTTCCCCGACCTCCTTTGAGGAAGCCTACAGACGATTTGCCAAAATAAATGAAACGCATTTGTAACAGAGGATTACAGAATATATTAAAAGCTGCTGGTGTGTTCTGTCAGCGTGGTCTGTGTCAGCAGAGTGACTCGGTCAAACTTTTAACCGGAGGTGGCATGGGGAATTTGAGTTTGAAAGTGTGCCTGTACAAGCTACCTGTTACTGCATGAGAACGTGACTTGCAGCCATGATTGCCTCATGCCTCATGAGAAATACAGTTTTATTAACTCAAGTTAGGAAAAGTAGTTTGAAAGTTCTGTCGCCAACTCCATTTGCTGAGAGAATTCTTAGAAGTTTCCAGATGTCATCATACACAATGAATTCCCCCCCTGCTCTCTGTGGAAGAGAGGGGGCTGTGCTGTGGGACAGATTGTGACAACAGATCTGTTTCACCAAAACAGGACAAATGTTTCTGCACTGGCATCTGCCCATACTGCAAGCGTCGGAGGTGCGACTGAAACGTTTTTTCGAACCCCAGCAGTAAAGTTGGCAACAATAAGAACGGATTTTACGACATACATCTTAAAATTAATGACCGGCAGTATTCAGTAATTCCGCTGTATTTTCAAATGCGGTTTAATCACCATTAAACTATTGCGAAATCTAATGAAAGTAATGAAACAAGTCAGCATCACTAACATCAGTGTAAGGCTCTGTGATACAAACAGCTGTAATGTTAAATGGCCAGTGGATTGCTGTTCAACTCTATCTACCAGACAAGTCACTATCATATGTAATTGGAAAACCCCAGAACATTTTTTTAACAACCAGTGCCAATATTTTTTTTTAAATTCTTGCTTTCTACAGTTATGGTCAGATCAAAGTTAGAGAAGGAAATAAGCTGTGGCAAGAAAATGATTAATAAAATGGCAAATGTTAATAGACCTTTTTCACAGCTTACATTTTGTGATAGCAGGAAAAGCACAGGTATAATCTACAACATTAAAAATGACGGTATTCCATTTAGGTGAGCTTGGGTCACGGTGTTTTGCATAGTGGCTCACTTGCATAGGTTACTAAAAAATTAATTGGAACTGAGCCATTGTTGTTGAAATTAGTTTTATCTGGGCCTTCTGTTACAAGTCTCTGCCTGCACATCCTCACTTTTCAACTCACTACATAAAGGGCACTGTACCTTCCTGCACTGTCACTGAACACTGGCTGTGGACGTAAATATATGGACATAATTCTGCTGCTGCACCTGAGGCCGCATTAGAATACAAAACACTCACATACAGTCACCTTCACTTGTATGCAAACCCTAAACTATGCCGTCTCCTACAAGTTAGTCATAGTTCAAAACTAAGCCGTGAAAGTCACAGTGAGTGTAATAGTAGAAAAAGCTTCAGTTCCCACGTCAATCAACAACCTTACAAGCAAAGTTTGGTGCCACAGAGTCCTGGCCACAAAGTTATCACGTAGGAGAGGATTAAACAGTGGGAAAAGGAGTGAAATATGTCAAAGAGAAATAGTAAGGAAGGAGAGAGGCAGAAGGAATATTTTCTGGTGGGAACATATAAGAGCAAGAACAGGTGAAGGACACGGGAGAAGGGATGGGATTTACTGCGGCCAAGAAAGATGCTTTGTGAAAAGATCTGCGTCTGCGGCCTGAAATATACAGACACTGACAAACACATGTTGATCTCACCTTTATTTTTGGATTCAGTCGCATAATTATACTGTCTCGTTTCTAACTACTCTGCAGGTGGCCTCAAGAAACACTTAGAGTTGCATTCAGAACTCCCCAGTCTTGTCACGGCATTAAATACGCACGAGTTGCGGCACAGTGTAAGCCATGATTAAAATGTGTCGCCTCCACCACTAAGACGTGTCTCTGGTGTATCAGATGGAAGCTTAGCACTGGCATATGCTCGCTGCAATGATCCGCCGATGGATGACAGGTGGTTATCCAACTATTTGCATAATTATGGGTGTAACGCGCAGACTGCTAGAATGTCATAAACAAATCCATATGGCCTTCTGGGAAAATCCAGATGATTCACACCACAGCTCATGGATATACTCGACGCCTTTCGCTGTGTAACAGGCATCGGCAGGATTTCTCGCTGAATGTTTTAACTGAGTGTGAAGTGAGGAGCAACTTCGCTCCCTCTACTTGTTTTGGCAGCTTTGATCGAATGTGGGAACTTTAGTTTCAGTTGCAGATCGGTTAGTGTGGCAGCTGTAACATGGGCCAGTCTTTCCTGGGCAGTTTTCTCGTAGATGTCTGATGGCTGGGGTAATTTTGGTTCTGAGACCTGGTTTCATTCTCTGGAGACTTTCCAGAATCAGCCTCAGTTGTTTAGTGCGGTATGTAAAAATCCCCCTTATCTTGAGAGTCAGTCATGATATATGCGCAATTTGCTGCAGTTACGACTGTTATTTTTAGAGCGGCTATAGGCTGAGCAACGGCTTAGATGATCATTCACATGCATGCTTTTTTCTCATATTTACACAATTATAGCTGTCTGGGTAATTTTCCAGCTAAAAGCGAATCGACAGGGTATTTCTTTCACTATAGCAGGACTCAGGCCAAGCCTAACCTTCCATAGTTGAGTTGTACAGTGTTTCCTTGTGGGCTCAGTAGACCTTTTATAAAAACAAAAAGTACTTATAATAACCACTTCCCATGTCTCAGCTGGGCTGTAGGGGTCTTGTGGCTACCACACAGAGCAAGGGCCCCAGAAATGTGTTGGAACACTGAGTTGGAAAGTGATCTGCTCAGTAAGTGGATAAAGCAGCAAGTGGTTTGTTGTTGCTCTAACTCTTTTTTACTCCCTGTGTTCCCTATTTTCTCTCATTCCATTGCTCTCCTTTTTTTTTTTTTCCACCCTCTTTCTTCTCCACTCTCCCCTCCACAGACATGCCTCTCCACGTCCGTCCCAGCAGTGATCCCTCCCTGGTCGACCTTCCTGCGGGTGAAGTCTCAGTTGCTCCAGAGGAACCGTCCAGAAAGAACCCAACTCGCTGGTCCACAACTGCTGGCTTCCAAAAGTACAACCACAAGCCAAACACAAGCACTGGTACTGGCAGTCTGGAACGAAAGGTAACATATAAATCTGGTCAATGTGTTTACCTTGACTTTTGACTGCTATTAAGAGTAATACTTATAAACTACTGTGTACTGCGATGCACCATTTATGTCGTAAAGGTTTATGTCGACCTAATAAGGTGTTAAAACTGTGCAGAGCATAAAAACAGATCGACGTAGCATTCATTCTTTATAACACCGCTGTCAAGTAGTATATACTGATTCTCTTGCATCGGGCCCAGAAGTTATTTTCCACAGTGCTGCAGATGAACTTGAGCTGCATCAATTATAATGTCAGAGATATGTGCTCTGAAATCTGCTAACCTCCAGCAGTCTCTGTTTTCAACTTCCTTACCGAGCTTTCTTCCCTCATTCTCATTCCTACTCTCCTCTGCACCCCAAATCAAAGAAATAACCATTAGATATGAAACCTGCGTTGCCCTGCTTGCAGATATCCAGCAGTGCCATAGATACTCTTTATCTGAAACTAGTTCCTTCTGATAACACCCTTTCTTGTCTTCTAAAAAGACGAGCACAGATTGTTAAACCCTTCCCCTTTGTTCGAAATTCACCTTTTTTCTGAGGCTTTCTAAGCCTCTGATTATAAATCCTAAAAAAAAAAAGAAAAAGCGTAGCTCAGGTACACCCTCCCCTGCAGCTTCCAAAAGAGAAGCAAAGCCAATTAATTTCTCAAAATGGCTGCCCCCACATGGTGCTTATAAACCTCCTACATCTTGCAGAGAAAGAGATATGCTCCCAATGAAACAGGGAGGTTAGAAAAAGAGAGATGATTGAGTGCTTGGAACGTGACACGGCAACCCTGCACATAATTATTTTGTCTAGAAGCGTTGTCTGATAACCTGATTTTAAGATCCTTTAGTTTACAGAGCCCCAACGGTGTAGCAGCATCACTCTGCAGTGGGGGGTGGAGAAGAAAGTTTTGGGGTGACGTGGTTTTTAGACCTTTCATTTTGTCAGAGAAGCTTCCTTTTTGGCCCGAGCGAAACTGAGCAAATATGTAAGAATGTTTGTGAGCTCAAAGAGAATAAAACGTGTAAAAGCAGAGGACCAGAAGTGTCGAGGGATTCTCATTCAGACTTTTTCCTGCAGTTTGGCCCCTCTGCTCTGCCCCGTGGCTTCCACTTTGTGTACACTCTGCAGGATATTAATATGTTGTCGCTTTGCACTGTGAAATAAGCAGGGTTTGGGTTGCAGACTTTACATAACAGGATTTAACAAATAATTGCGCTCAGTGATTAAAAACTCTAACTGTGACATTACACTGCAGATTACATGTAAAAATGGATATCTTTTTTTTTAGACTGGAATACGCAAAAAAAGTTAAACTTTAAATGTTTGGTGGACATATGATTGACAAGGACATCAGAGGTTCATTTCAAATTATGGCCAAAGTACATTTTTTTCTATAGTATCTCATTTAGTTCTTGACTTTCATCTGCAGCAGGTGATCAGTTATCTGAATGAAATCAATTTTGTCATTTTCCTGTCACTGCTGACCGGTATGAAAAATAACGAGCTAACACCGGGAGGCTGTCATCTTTATTGTCCAGTTTCTGGCAAGGCTATTAGATTTTTTTTTTTTTCAATAAAAGGGGAGTCTTAGTCCACATAATCCTCAGTATCTCTTTTTCATACATCCAACTGTCATATACTCACCAGCAGTCCAAGATGAAGTCTATTTTTATTCAATCAGCACCAGATGTTGAGTGTATTAGTCGACATTGACTTTGATATATTTATGTCCTGGCGCTAACATTGTTCTTAGAGGGACCATACATCAATGATGAACACTGCCAAAAGAGTGTATGGATGCAAGCCATACACACAGCATACACATAGACTCTCTCCACTGTCTGGGATCATTTCACACTAAAGGCTGCCACGATCTGTTCAATTCCCCATGAGTCCAGTTGGGGCTGACTCCAGCTCGGTTCTGCTAAATCTCCGCATTATAAGCCAATGGGACTCCTCAGTCATCGGCCAGCACTGTAAACTCATCACGTCTCCCAATGACTTTACAATACCTCCAACCCTGGGTTCTCCACGCTTAGCACAGTCAAATAAATGAATTAGGCAGTGGATATGAGGCTGTTGATTTACTGTTACCTCTCTGGTATCTGGGTCCCTCCACGTTTTACGATCTGATGTGTCGTAAAAAGTTTGTGGAGAGAGGTCCTTTGTCGCGGCGCACTGCATTAGTGGGGGCCGAGGCCGTGATGGCTATCAGGGGCCGTCTCTGCAGAGCCCGTGTGTCCGGCTGAGTTTTACAGTCCTGTCTGCCGTGCTTCCTCGGGCCCCGTCATGCTACATTCAGCTGCACTAAAACACACATGGCTTATTACATTATGGATAAGGCACACTCTCTCTCTCTCTCTCTCTCTCTCTCTCTCTCTGTCTCTCTCTCTCTCTTTTTGGCATTGTTCGTAGTTTTTATTTTGTAACTTGCTGAGCAACTTGTTTTGATTCGCCTTTGTTCGTGTTTCCGGCAGCCTCTCATCTTGTCTCTCATGCTGCACCGAGCCACTCAGGAGTTTTTTTTTTTTTTCCCTCAAGTTTTGTGTCTCTGGTCTTTTGTTGTGTGATGCCTCATTAAAGAAATCCAAACTTCTGCTCTGTCTCTCTCGCTCTTCAGCTGCCATTTCGTTACTCATCAGACCTTAAATAATTCTCACTCTGTTTGTCTGTCTTGGTGAATCATTGTCTCCACTGTGATTTTTTGATTTTTTTTTAATATTAATTTGCTTTCATTTTTATTCAGCGAGCCTCAGCCAGCGTGTCTTTCAATCACTGAGATTTCAAAGCCGAGGCTAGCATGTCTGGAATGTAATCTGGTGCTCTTGTGTATGTTTTTGTGCTTGTGGCCATTGTAATAAGTCTGCTGAAGTCTGCTGGTGTCTGACATTACCTTGGCAGGAGCATTTTGGAAGGTGATTTTTGTGTAATGGAAGAGCTCAGCTGTGGCTGTCTTATTATGAGAGGCCTCTTATTAGCAGCTCAGGTTTAGATGTGGGGAGGGGTTAGGGGCGAGGGTGAAATGGAGTGAGACTTGAATGAACAACTCAGTGTTGGTGTGTGGCACTGCTCCAAGACAAACTAACCACTTTCCACCGCAAAACGTCTGTCATCCAGCTGCTATAGATAGCACTAATCTGCAAAACTGCCTGTTTAAAGGCCAAAAAATATGGAGGATGGATCTATCTATCAACTCTTTGTTGATAAAGGATTTCAGATGGCTGATTATGTGCCTAGTCGTGTCTTTGTGGCAGCAGTGGTATGATCAATGTAAGTAAATCTTCTACTGACAGTAGCTTTGGTGTCATAGTCATGCGGTGATGTTAATCTCTCCACCTCCTCCTGTTACTCTGCAGGGCAGAGGAGCCCACGCCTACAGGAGTCTTCCACGAGATGCGAGTGGCTGGACCACTCAGTTCCAGAGAGAGATGACTCGCTCCTCCCTCAGCGCCAACCATCCAATGGTGGACCAGTGGCTCGACAGACAGGAGCAGGTATAGTTGTGGAATAATACGGCTAATATTTGTGGTTTAAAGAATGAATTTTAGCCTACTATTTCAACCATTGCAAATAAACCCAAGCAGTAAGTTAAACTGGAAAGGTAGTGATGCTCCGCTCCAATAAGCCAGATTGGCATCCACCCCTACACTGACCTTATTAAGTGGACAAGGTGTCAGCCGTGACGAGTCGAATCCACATTAAATACAGCGTTAATGTCCATGTCTTTCAGTTAGATTAGTTCAGTCATGGTGGGCCACCCACTCTGCCGCAGTGGGCCCACGCCTCATGCTACCTTACATAAAAGCGATTAGAGTGAGTTTCACACGGGGATGTATAGAGAATTGAAGTTTTAGAGAGCGCAGCTACTGGATCGGTACTCAGTCTTGGAAGATACCATAAATTGGGGGTTTACATTTGGTCTTGGGAGACAAAAATTTGGATCTATGCATCCATGTTGAAAGGTATAATAACTGTAACCAAACTATGCTGCACTCTTTCAGGCAGTTATTATTGTATGGATATAGGAATAATTTTCATTTCCACTTGGCAGCCATGTTTCCATAATAATACGTCCCACTGATTGACAGCAACATATAACATAAGGTAGCATGAGTAGCAGCATGGCTGACGTGTATTTTTACTCTGCAGATTATCCACGTCTACACTTCACACTGTGCTGCTTCGTGTCATAATGTATCATATGTTACCATAATGTAATAACACTGGTAAGCACAGTAGTGACAGACAACAGGGTGGTGAAGTACAGCGACGCTGACTGCTCACTGCCCGGGCCGACGTGAAACCGAAACGGCGGCTGACATCAGACTTCATACTTCTGTTCTGCTTTTTATAAAGTAACAGTGTACACTCTTAGTCATCGCAGGCTTGTCTCCTCACTTCACACCTCCTCACTCTGTCGGCACTTTGTGATTGTCTCACTCTGTGACTGGTCCCTCTACTCCTCAGCCTGTCAGAGGAGAGGAGGAAAAAAAATTCCCTTTAAAAGTTATTAAAAGTGACAGAGGCTCTCTGCTGGGAGAACAGAACAGAAATGACCTTGAGGGGGGTGTCAGACACGCTGAGCTCCACGTGAAGAGGATTTCTCTCAGTTTGCCTCTCCGTCTTTGCCCATCACCGCCTCAGCTACTCGCCCTGACCCGTGTAGGAGGTGTTTAATCGATCTCTCCTTTATGTTTGAGTAAGAGAAGAGCAACCAGAGGGCATGAAATGTGTAGAGGTGATGCAAGAGTAAATGTGGAAGTAGTAAAACCATTAGAATATGAAAGAGCCGACTGAGAGTCAAAGCTACCAAACCTGTGGCTGTTATTATTTATTTCACAGACACCTTTCCTGCATTGTGTTCCATTTGTCTTGCCAGGATTACACATGTCTAGGCTACAGTGATGTGGGTTTCTAGTAGTTCTGTCTGCCTCTCTCTTTCTAGTCTCATTGAAAATCCACCTGGCCAAGGTTCATTGTTACCATTGGTGCAGGAAATATTGAGGAAATATTTTAGTTCTTAAGTCTTGTTTTGCAGTTTTTTGTCTCTGGCTAGACAGTCAGTCAGGACAAAAGAAGTTATTTTAGTGCTGTATGAATCAGTGTGTATTTTGCATTCGGGCGGCTATTATAGTGTTGCTTCGTTACTGTGACTCTTATTTAAATTCATCTTGTTATTACTCACCTTCCTCACTCATTTAGAGCATGTCTTGACTGAAGTCATGCAAGAACATGAAAATGCGCTCTAGTAGGTTTGTAAAACTTTTTATTTATTTTCAAACTGATCATTATGTACATTTTAGTTAAGCTTGTGGGGGTTTTGAAAATATTTTATTTATATGATGATATATAAAATCATACTTGAAAATATCCAAAAGAATGTGAAAACTTCAGGTTACGATATAATGTGTTAACCAATGAGCTTTAGAGGTTCTGGTAAGTGGATTTTGTTACCTTTGAACAGACAACTGTTTCCAGTCTTTGTACTAAGCTAAACAGCTCTTAGCAGTAGCTTTCCTAAAATGTCAAACTGTTCCTTAAACATTGAAGATAATATCCTGCAGTACTGAGAGTTGTTATATTGGTATTGTATGAAAAATCCTCTTTCTCCTTGTGTGAATATTTTCATTTCTCCACGCCGGCGTCAGCCAGAACTGCAGGCATTCTGTGTCCGTCCCGTTCTCCTGAATGTGATATCTCAGTAGTGCCTGGAGGTAATTCTTCAAATTTAGCATAAACATTGACTTGGACTCAATGATGAGGAATTCGGTTTTCAAAGGTCATAGGTCAAGGTCACAGGGACCTCATAAAACATGGTTTTGGCCTTGTGAACGCAATATTTTTGGAACTCCTCAGGGGAATCTCTTCAAATTTAGCACAAATGTCCAATTGGACTGAAGAATGAACTGATTAGATTTTGGTGGTCAAAGGTTAAAAGTCAAGGTTACTGTGACCTCACAAAACACGGTTTTGGTCTCTTGAATGTGACATCTCAAGACTGCTTTGAGTCAATTTAACTACATCTGGTCAAGTTCAAAGGTCAAAGAGAGGCTCTGGGCCTCTCTTCTGATGGGCTGTTTTCTGTGTGATCGAATAAAAATAAAGCAGATTTCAGGTAAACACCCAAGAGAAATCAAATTCTGCAAGGTTGGATGGTGGGTCCAGGTGGGCGGGGCTTGGAGCATGGCTGACAGCAGCGACTGCTTTGTTGTGACATCACAAAGTTCCAGAAGTCCTGACGGCTGGTTTTAAGGCTCAGTTTCTGAATACAGGCTGTGTGCATTTCTCTGTGGACTGAGAGCTTTGATACTTTCACAGTATTAATATAGAACCTAGACCTGCTTTATGATCAAACTACACATGGGCATCTATCTTTATACAATTAAAGGTAGATGTGTTCATGAATAACAGCAGGGACTCCACGGTGTAAGAATTCACAGGTGCCTGTAGAGCCGGAGTTTTTGTAATCTGATAGTTATATGACTAAGATGATTCACAAACCACAAATCTGCTCATTAGAGGTGACACAGTGTTGGTTTCAAATAGGCACTTAATTAGCCAGTTGTTTCTCTCTCCTTCACTCACTGTATCTCAGCCTTGATCGCTGCCGTTCCCTCCCACACACGACGGTTTGATATTTTGTTTTCTTTGTGTATTTGACGGACAGGCAGTACAGCAGCATCGAGTGGGTTAATTAAAACAAATTGTGATCAGTGCTAAAGCGCTGGTGGAGATAATGAGTTGACACACACGCACACACACATATATGCCAAGGTTTTGGGGAAAATCACACCAATTAGAACTTGTTTGTTTATCATGGATTAGTTATCTGCTGTACTTCATTGTTCTGCTTTATGAGTAAAGATAAAAGCAAAAGATGATGAAAACTACAAAAGGGCACCACACTCATTTCTCTCTAGAACAAATGACGCACTCGTTACTTTGTGTATATATATATATATACGTGTGTGGGTGTGTGCCATGCTGCAGCAGCATCATTTCTTAACTTTATACATACTTCTTAAGTTCTGAAGCACTCCCTCATCAAATCTTTTTTCCTTTAACGGCTGATATGTGCGGTGCAGCTCTGTTCTGCCCGGTGCACTCTTAAAGTGCTTTACTTCAGCATTTATATTTAAGCAGGCCTTCCCACCCCCTGCTATGAATTAGGAATGTGAAGTCAGGAACATTGACTTCTACGCTTCAAAGAGTTTCTGGGGAAGTCGGATGCACGACACCAGCGACCGTACAATCTGTGATTCTGTCGTCAGCGCAAGAACCCAGAGGTGATAAACTCAGAGAGGGATCTGAAGCCGGATGAATCCAGGAGAGGTTCTCTCAGGATGTTATTTCAGATTGCATGGTCTAGTTTCTTTCTAGAATGCCGCATACACGTATACATACATGTTCAGCATACACACTGATCACAAAGCCATCTCTCCCCTAGTTCAGTCAGGTACTGGAAGTGTCTTATATTTAGCAAACCAGTCAATAAATTCACTTCAGTGTCAAATGGGTCCCCCTAAATCCCTTTTCACTTCTCCACACATGCACACACACACACACACACACACACACACACACACACACACACACACACACACCCTGCCAACTGTGGCATGGAGGAAAGTGTGCTCTATCAGCCCATAAACACCAAGGCCTTATGAGTTATTCTTTATATAAACAGCTGACATTAACCGGCCTGTTATTCTGCTGATGAATGCTAATGGGCCTTCCCGCTCAGCATCACACACACAAACACACACGCTTACACGCATTTGGATCTGGCTGAGTGCTTCCCCACAGTATTATTGTGCGGCCTTGATGAGGGGACCGGAGGCCATTATCCTGAGCTGTACCAGAGGCGGGACTGACACCAGCTGTCAGTCATAGAGGGATTTAACCCAGTCAGAGCGGCTCGCTTGGAGGGAGACTGAGACGGTTGAAGTGTGTCCAGAAAGCTCAGAGATTGAGGGTTTCAGAGGTAGTGGAAGGCAGGTACTTTATTATAGATACTCATCATCATGTTTTATTTATAGAATATTTTTTTAATCAAATAGTTATCCTAATATGATCTGAATTCATTTAGTGATTTATTATTTCCTGGCATCTAGTATAGCACTTTGAAAATGCTGTTTCAAACAGTCAGACCCATAACAGACTGAAAGAGAGATTTAGAAAAAAAACTAAACTAAACTGTTACATAACGGAGTCCAAAGCATGTTTGAGTAGAAACATCTCTGATCAGACATCTTTGATCAAGCTTCCAGAGTGCCTCCCTCCCACTTTGTTGTCTAAATGAGACACCTTGTCTGGCGAGTTTTAAAGGAAACCCAAAGTGGCGAGGTGCCCGGTGAAATCATCGAGCCAGCGTGTTGAAAAGAAGACGAGTCTGTTCAGCTTCAAGCCGGAAGAAGAGAAGCGAGGAGCCGTCTGAACACACGGCTTCACTTTTATATCTTCACATCAAAGATTTCTCACCAAACAAACACACATTACCAGTCGTAAACTGATTTGTCAATAAAATGTTCGTTTTCTCACATTCTTTTTGGCACCTCTCACTTCAGTCAGAAGGCAGCAGTTTTTTCTAATGACATTACTGGTCTTCACACAGTGCAGCATTACTTTTACACAATATTAATTATGAATATTAATTAAATGTATGTTTTTTATCAGAATGTAAAATTTGAAACACTTTGAGAGATATGTGACCAGCTTTTAAATATAATCCTCAAAGTTACCCACATTTGTTTGTTTGTTTGTTTGTTTGTTTGTTTGTGTAGTGTAGTGTAGTGTAGTGTAGTGTAGTGAAGTGTAGTGTAGTGTAGAAGTCAGTTGCTCTCTGAAGTGGATCCTCTGTGCTACGTTGGCTACAACAGTGCAGTCCAAAAGTCCCCTCTGTATTTCCAGGGGACTACTGTCTGTATAGACTTTTGGTTTAACTTGATGATAAACTGTAAGAGGCATAGCAATCAAAGATGGTTGACAAATACAGGAATTTCCCTGTTAAATACCAACCAGTTTCTTTGCTTGTTTCTTTCATTATAACAATACTAACTTATATGAAAGTACATATAAGGTTCAAATTTTTGAAAGCAAGCCAAACTATAGCTTTACTTTCACTTTTTTTGCTTAAAAATAGAAGAAATAGGATGGCAAGTGTCTCAGAATCAGATAACTCGTGAAGTGGAGGAGCTCACAAAAAAAAAAAAACAATAGGAAGGAAGGACGCTTTGGAAAACCCTTGGGCAAGTCAATTCTGCACAAAAGTTAGCATTTAATTCTCTGTGCCGTTGTTGGTGAGTGAACTTACTGAGTTAGTATACTCTCCTGACTAGCCTGTTGTGGTAAAGCCCACACAGTGTGCAGACCCTCAGGCGAGCTGCAGGCAATGTTAGAGCAGTTGAGCATGGAGAGCAAACACAGCAATAACCCCCAAACCCTGCCTGCCTAACAGTCTGTCTTCCTGTCTCTCTTTCTGTCTTTACCTGTCTCTCTGAATGACTTAGAAACAGGTGAGCTCTGCTCTCCAGCCTCACCCATCCTCCGCATTTGTCCCTCTATGTGGTGGATGCATACATGTCCATGGACTATGTTTGCATAAACCCTTGGTGGATGTTTGATGCAGAACAGGTCGGGGGGGGTTTGCTGCATGCAGGAGAATGCACAGAAAAAGAGCAAACCGCATTCCAGAGCAGTGCAGTCAGGCTCGCTGTGGTGTCCTGTGTCTGCAGAGAGGACTCTGCACTTATCCAGACCCTCTTAATTCTCCCTGAAACACACACAGGAAGGTCAGCCAGCTCCAAAGCAGTCACAGAGGTAGATGAGAGGGCTTGTGTTCTGCTGTAGTCCAGAGAAAAACACTCGAGTTGTATGCATACATTCATGATGTACTCAGCATGTCTTTTCTAATTGTGACCCTGTGGGCCTGACCAGAAGGAGCTGCTGTGTGATCAACAAACAAGCTCAGTACCAACAAAAAAAACACATTTTCTCTCTTATTCTTTTTTTTTTTCCTACTAAGCATCATGTCTATTTGTATGCCTCCCCTCATTTCTGTTTCTCTGTCCTGCAAGATCTGGACTCATTTCATTAATGAATTCATTCATCTACCACTTGGTATTTTTCTTTTTCTCAAAAAGGAGTAAAACATCTGTCGGTTGAATTACTTTCTAATGCAAATCAAATTCAAGCGTCACTTTTGTCATCCCAGCTTTTGAGATTTCTAGTAGGACATGTTGTGACTTTCTTTCTGTGTCTCATAGTGGATACTTCAGTCAGTACACTCACATGTAATACACTGTGTGCACATTACACTCACTGGCTCAGTGTGCGATGCTGTGCGGTCCCCAGAAACGGCGATTGCAACATGTAACCGCTATTATCGCCCGCTTTGCCCCCCGCTTTCCTCAACAGCAAGTCAAGTCAACATGGTCACCGTTTTCACGAGTTCTAAACTACATCTGAGGTCTGTCCCCTTCTGCTGTGTAGCCAAGATGGCGACCGTTTAGGGTGAGAAGTGTCCATCATTTTACAGTCAACCGTTTGAGAAAAACTAACTATAAAGATACAAATTTTTATTACACAGTGAAGCCCTTTTTTTGCTTCTGTGAATGCCGTGGAAATGGCAGCTCACCAGAGATGCTCCGCTCCAGCTGAGGATCTGAGTGAGAACAATGTAGCCCCGAGCCTCTCAGCGGCCTCTCACTTAATTAACCATCACCATTGAACTGCTGCCAGGACGTCACGACCCCTGACGGACCAGGTTTGTTTTCTACCATTTCACACAAGACCTGCACTGCTTTATAAGCCTCATTTAGTACCGCTCACCTCCTCTGTTCACCTCTAAGTGGGCTTGGGCATTGAGCGTGAGCTTTGGACTGACTTGTAGTGCTTGTTGACCCAACTTTATTGTTGGCTAGTGAGCTGAAAGTAAGAAAGCCCAACCTTTATTACATTCTTATTTATACTAATGATGTTTATTATGAGGTTTCTTATTAGGTAGAACATTTCTAAAATCTTTTTAGATCTCTAAAGGTACTGTATGTCTCTGTGGCCCTGTAAGTTCGTCAGTTCACACCTGGCTTTAAAAAGAGTCTCGATTGACCGCTTGTGATCTGATCTCACCTCGCCGCCTTATATGCAAATAAACACGTATGCGTCCTCAATGCGTCTTGGGTGCGTTCACACCTGAACTTAGAGCTGACCACTTGTGACCTCTGTTTTGAAGATTTTGATGCTTTTTACATTGTTTCCTTGTACAACCCGTTAAAAGCAAACCGTGCACATGCAGAAGTGTCATGTAGCATCCACCTATTTATTGTTGGTTTACATAGGACTATGTCATTTAAACTCCTCACAATGGGGAGCAAGTGAAAAGACAACTGTCCCACAGTAACGTCACAAAGTGTCAATATTATCATTATTCTCATTGAGGATGCAAAAGAATTTTGCGATCGAGCACCGATTCTGATTCACAGCAAAGTGTAAATTGGATAACTTTGCTTAAAAAGTTTCACCTAATGTGATTCAGCCACAAGCTGTGTGTAGAACTCTGCACACAGCCTGCAGCGACAAAATGCAATGTGGATTTAGTGTTGTTCTGTCATTAAGTAACTGTGTGTGTGTGTGTGTGTGTGTGTGTGTGTGTGTGCGTGTTTGTGTGTGCGGGTTTTAGCAGGTAACATACACACAGTTGGTAGCATCATTTAGTTGATTCATTCCACAGCAGGGAAATAGATTGTAAATGAGCAATTATGAAAATAAGGCAATTTAACATCTCATTATTAACTTAACATCTTTGTTAGAAATAAACGGCAGTGATAATCACTCTGAGCCATGATGTTTTATGTGTGTGTGTGTGTGTGTGTGTGTGAGAGCATGTTTGAGTGTAAGTATGCATATGTGCCACTATTTATATTGAGACCACAATAGTTAACCATCCACCACCTTTTCTGTCCAGAAGCTTTTCTCACTTGGCTCTCTGTGTCTATTAGCATTCAAGGTGGCTCCCCTCTCACCTTCTCACACACACACACACACACACACACACGCACACACACATACACACACGTGCGCGCAGGGAGAGACAGACACAGTGAATGATAGAAATAAGTGCTTAACAATTCAGGACAACTTTCACAACTTAATCCCAAGCGCATAACACAGCAGACAAATGTAGTTCCCAAGGACAGCATGTGAAAAGGCCTCCAGCAGGGACTGGAAGAGAGGCAAAGCTGAAAATGTTGCTCTACTCAGAAAAGGGAATCAGCCTCTTTGGAAAGAGAAGAAGAAGAAAAACCATTTTCTGTTGTTCGGCGACTCAGTCTCATGCCATGTTGGCCGTTTCTTTCCTCTCAAAACGAGATCTGTCTTGTTTGTTCTTGCTCTCCTTTATTTTCTCTCCTTTCTCGCTTTATTTAAAATTGTGCAAATCACGTCTGTCCTCTTATCTTGTTTGAACAGCAGAGGAGGCGGAAGACATTTTTGGAAGTTGCCAACACTCCTCTCTATCAGCTGTACTATAGCCTGAAAATGTTTAACCTGTCGTGCTCTGCAGGCTGCGTGTGTGTGTGTGTGTGTGTGTGTGTGTGAGACTAGATTGTTCAGATTAGAGTTTGGCTGATTCAGGCTTTAGAAGGCTGATAGCACTGTTTTTGAAATTCCCAAGAGGCTTTTGTGCCATCTTTCAAATTTGACTATTTATATGCAAAAACTCCTGAGAATTAAAAACTTGTGGCTTTTTTCCTTTTCAGATTTTATTGTTGTCAGAGTTGAAAAAGCATCTGGGAAACAAAACTTAACAATAAATGTTGCATAGGAATTCATGAATAATAGCTTGGCTTTGATATAATACTACAATTAATACTTACACATCAGATATTCAGGAGTTATTAAATACTAATCTGATCTTTAATTTGCAAAGTGATATATCTAGTCTCAAACATGAAGGTATGTCATTGTCCTTCCTCTTGGTGTAAGCTATGGCTCTGCATCTCTCCCCATCTTTACGTTTCTTTCCAAAGTTTGCACTCATCTTGTTCCCTCCCTGCTCTTCAGACTCTCTTTTCTCCATGGTTACTAACTGCTCAGATGTCGTTCGCTCTCATATATTCATCCCATTGCTGCAAACTGCCCTTCAGCAAGGCTGTCTGTGTTTTGACAAGTTTCGTACAATTCTTGCTTCAAAACCCTTAAAGATGAATGGATGTACTAAAACAGGGTTTTGCAGGGACAGGTAAAAAAAAAAATCTCTTCACCTCAGTGACTGTCACTCATCCGTCTCTTTATCCTCCTCTTTCCTATTCCTCTTCTTTTTTTGTCCACATGTGCGTCACCTCTGCACCATCAGGGTGGCTATCCTTCTCCGCGCTGCTGGTTGTGAATGTGTTAATTCTTGATTAGAGTTCACGCATTTGCCTTCTCCGATTTGCTCCGTGGAGTGAGAAATCACTTTCTCAATGAGAATAATTGAACACGGGCAGGGGGGTGCCAGCTCATTACCCACAAATCACAGGGAGCAGGGGCACCTTAGTTGAAGACAATAATGATTTCAGGGAATAAAACGGGAGCCGTCAGCGTGGAGTCAAACCAGCTTGGGCAGCACAGAACAAAGCAGGGATAGGAAGACGCACACTCTTGACATCGCTTCTTAAGGTGAATTCATTTTGTTCTTATCCTCCCGCATTTTCAGTTGAATCAATTTACTTTTCTCAGAGGGGGCGGGTGTAGGCGGCTTTGGAGGGAAGTACTGAGGGGTGTGTACGAGGAACAATGGTCAATATTCAGGCACAGTGTTTCTGTTGTGAAGTAAATTATACCCAAGCCCACGCTGGTTTGCAGCCAGGGCTGAAAAAAAAATGTCTCCCTGAAGTGGTCATTTTAAAGGTCCCATATTTATCCCATACTTTTCCTATGTTTAATTTGAAATGTTGATCCATAAGCAGATATATTTGTGATTTTAAGTACCAAAATCCATCTCAGTGTAGTTTTACATTCTCCTCTCTCAGGCTTCTCTCTGGAGCTCTGGCAACAACAGGCTGGTGAGCCAATGAGAAGAGAGTCTAAGAGACTCTCTTCTCAAGAGAGTCTAAGAGAGTCTAAGAGACTCTCTTCTCATTGGCTGACTGTTTTCTGAGTGATTGAATAAAAACATAGCAGATTTCAGGTAAACACTCAGAGAAACCAAATTCTGCAAGGTTGGATGGTGGGTCCTGGTGGGCGGGGCTTGGGGCAAGGTTGAAAGCTGTGACTGCTTTGTTGTGACATCACAAAGTTCCAGAAGTCCTGACGGCTCGTTTAAGGCTCAGTTTCTGAATAGAGGCTGTGTTCATTTCTCTGTGGACTGAGGCTTTGATGCTTTCACAGTATTAATATAGAACCTAGACCTGCTTTATAATCAAACAACGCATTGACGTCTACCTTTATACAATATTGGACCTTTAGGATGATCAACA